TATCTTCTACTTTAACTTAACATGGAACTTGCACATGGGCAGTTCATGATCTATTCCACATTCCCAAGAACATTCAGTCCTTGGCCATGTCTTTACTGATATAACTGAGCTCTTTCACTTCCTTGTACCAATGATAACATAATCAATATGATTTTTGTGGACCCCATCTGGTGATGTCCATGTATATATTGTTTTGGTTGTTGAAAGAATGTGTCATCTATGAAGGAATGATTGGATTAGTAGAAATGGATAAGTCATTTTTTGCTTCATTTCAGTTTCCTAGGCCATACTTTCCAACCACATTTTCTTCCTTAAAATATATATATTAAAATATAAAATATATTACTTTGGCATTCTAGTCTCCAACCACAAGCAGTACATCTGTCAGTGCGTGGTCAACTGAACATGACCATAAAATTAATCAACCTCCTTTTCTTCTGCATCAGTGGTTGAAGCATAAACATGGATAATTGTCATATTAAGGGCTTTCCATGAAATCTAATTGGTATTATTTGGTCATTGATTCCTTTTAGCCAAGTACTGTTCTTGCTACTGTATATCCTTCCTGGTTATTATGCAATGGTTTTGAGAAAGAACAGGCATGAACCTTGCCCTCCATAAACCCTGTGATTGTAATATAAACTTGATTCCAGGAGCTCAGATCCTTACTAAACACCCATAACATGTCAACAGCAGAACCAATCTGCTCAAAGGAATTTACTGATGACAACTTGCAGAAAAGGTTCATCCAAAATTCTACATCTACATTCACTGCATTAACATTCTTTGTCAAAGAGAAAGATGGTTTTCTGACATTGATCCTTTATTTTGGAATTTGGGACCATTATTACCTCCTCCTTTTAATTTCTGAATATGAGGAACAGGTGCACAAAGCATGTGTTTTTACCAAATTGGATCTTGGGAGGCTTAGAAACTGATTTGCATAAAGAAAAGACACCAATACTTATCTGTATTTGACATGTGTTATGGAAATTTTGAGTATTATGAATGAAATTTTTCATGATTCTTGAATTTTATTTGATTCCACATTTAGTTGACTTATTTATTTAATTCTGAAGACCCAACTACTCACAGTGAACCCTGGACTATACTTGAATGGTTTCACCAACACAATCTGTATGCTAAGCTTAAGAAATGTCCTTCAATCTGCCTGTCTCTCCAGATCATCAATTAGCTGTTCAAAGACAAAGACAAAAACCAAGTTATGACCACCAGCATGGTTGGGCCTGAGATTTCTTGATACTAGCCCATGGTCTCTATGGAGGACATGAACTTCCAAACATTAATGAAGCTGGCCCAACAACAAAAAGGGGAGATTTTCCATCACCAGCCAGGAAACCAGCTTCAGCAGCTTGGAGAAGCACGGTAGTCAGTACACCAGGAGGATCCCAAGCTGGTCTCTATAGCTGAAATCTAACATAAAGGCACTCACACCCAATTATGTTATGATCAACATCCCTGACCACTGGTAGGATATCCCTAACAATCAGAGCCACCAACATCCCTCCCTTAACCTGAAAGGACCTAAATATTTTGTTCTTTTGTCTGCATTTCATCTTCACCTGGTGACCTGAAAACCTGAATACCCCATCCTATCTCACTTCCAACACTGGCCTTGAGTAGAGACTCTAGAAGCTGAGATGCACACTTCTAGCTTCATTGAGTGATTCTGCATGCAGCAGCAACAAGACTCTTATGTAAAAGCTCAGATAGGTAACCTTCATAATTCCCATTTTCTTGGGAACACAGAGTTCATCTTCCCTCTTTTTGGGGGGAACAGAGAGAATTGAACAAAATTGATTATGCATTCCAAATATACATTTTAAAACATGGAGACAGTGAAGCTTTGCTATGACAGCAGACTAGCCAGACATTTTGGAATATTTAAGACTATCCATCTTTAACTTGGAGATTTTGGTGACCTCATGTCCAAGCAAATGTCAATGCCTACGTGTCTTCTTATCATACCTACTACTGTGCCAGACCTTTAACCATGAAATCAACACCATTTCCCTGGAAGGGGAGAGAGAGGGAGGAGAGCTGTTCAACCTCAACAGACGTAGAAAATCTGCAGAAAAATCACAGATCCTTGGTGAGTTGGCTACGTGGAAAGGAGGGAGGAGAGAAGCACCAGCCTTCTCTACATGCAATGGATGGGGAAGAATTGCTCTTAAAGTGGGAGGGGATGTGAGAGCCCATAAGTTCAAAAGTAAACAGTCTGATACCAGATGTTTGTTACTGAAGACAGATGCCACATTGCACAAGCAGGAGAAAGATGAAAGAATTTAAACTTCAGTATAAATAGGGCTTATATTTGATATAGAAGTCACTGGAATTCATTTGCAATAGCTTTATTGCTTTTGTACACTAAACCTATTTATCTGACACTTTGGTGCCATGGGATTCTATTCTTCAAAGGTTTCATTTTTGTTTGTTTTTGCTGCCCTGCCCGCCAAGGGAAGCCTCACAGATTTCCCAGTGACAATAGAGACAGTCACCTTCTCTCTCTCTCTCGCTCTCTCTTTCTTGAAAACAGAGGTACACAAATAAAAATCATAACACAGGAGTGGAATAATTAGTGGAAAAAATAATCCCAATAGAGCCAATGAAATCAGAAGTACTATTTATATGGTCAGATCTACATGGCCCAATCATCATATAGCTAATCGGTTTCATGAGATTGCATCACAAGGAAACATCTGATGGATTCTTTAGTGACATTACTCCAGGAATAGCAGGTCAAAGCAGATTTGTATGGCAAAATAATTGTATATGGTCCCAATATTATTGGCTTGATATTTTCTCAATTCCTTTGGTCAATGTTAATTTGATTTCTGTAACATACAGCATTGTTCAGCAATAGAAACCAGGTAACAATCTTGACTAATTAAAGGTAATTCAATTCCCGTTTTATCTTCTATTGCAGATTTCTCTCTTTTGAGGTGGGGTGGGGCAATAGAGAAAAGGTATTTCCTCAATAGCAGGCAATTTTATGTAGCATTCATTTACTGACTCATGAAGCAATCACTCTTCTTTCTGTATGATGCAGTAACATTTCTACAGTTCTCAGTGTTACTCTGCATAGAACTCCATGCACCTACCCAGATTTCAGAATCAGTTTAGAACTAGCTATAAAGAACAAATATATGTTAAGCAAAATGCCTTGTTATACATAAGGAATATTCTTGATTACCTACAGACTTCTAACTACTTGCCACAGGACACAGCAAAATATTTTCATCATTTGGGCAAGAAGTTACAGAGATTTCAGAACTCTGAGAATGGGAAAGTGGCAGCAATAGGAATCAAAATAAGGCTGAGCAGATGCCTCTATGCATTCATTTATTTTTCATCCAAGGTAATCACCTCATAAGATGCATCACAGATTAAAGAAGATGAATAGACATATATGGGAATGGATAGGTAAATAAAAATGAACGCTCATACTGAATGACTTAATTTTCGGGGAAAAAGGAGAGCAATGAGAAGCAGAAGAAAAATAAATGCTAAAACTTTATTTTCCATTAAAAAATATTTTCTTTAAAGAAAAGACAAGAAAGAACAAATCTATCCCTCATAGGAATGAGTGCCATTCTGAAGAGTCTATGTTACTAGCCTCAAAACTGACTTTAGATTTTCATTCTGTTGGGTGCCAGTCCACATAGATCTTGTGGCAATGAGGCTTCCTCTATATAAAAATAGCATGTATCAATCTCTATTTAAATGCCCAGAATTTTCTATGATAATGGTTATAGTGACACACTCTGGTTGAGCTATAGAAGAGCAGTTTTTACAAAGGCCTCCAGTGATTATGTGGGCAGCTCTGGATACCTTATTTGCCTTTCCCAGCCTAGTGACCTCCAAATATGTTTGGAATTGTCTATTATCAAAATCGGAAATTGGTTGAGTTTTTAGGTTTTACACCGGTCCGGAAAAGGCTGTAATTTTTATTGACAAGTAAAAACACTCCTCCGTTTGCTTTATAAAGTTACACTTGTCTTACATTTGACACTAGGGAAAAAATAAAAAACTTCTGTCATTAATGGAATGTCTAACAAAATATTCTTACTATTCCACTCTCTAAACCATTTAACCATATTAAAATAATAATTGTCAACCTTAAAATATTATAGACCTTTCTTCCAAATTCCTGTGTATTTGAGATCCATGCCTCTTTTGAAGAAATAATGTATTAAATAGTTTTTTTAAAAGAGATTCAGCTCTACAGCTTAGTTTAACAACACATTAATTTATGTAATTTGACAAAAAAATCTGTCTTTGAACAGAAAAGGTTTTATCTTTATAAAATCATTAGTTATCAGTCTCATGGAAGGTGTTGCTGTTTGCTATCTAATATTGGAAGGGAAAAAAACAATTAGCTTCATTAAAAATTACTAAATTTATTGTATGCACATATAATGGGGTTTCTTCTCTTTTGTTCTTTTGGGAGTTTTAATCAAAGCAAATCTTTTTGAATAACTGTCATTATTCATGCAACATTTGTAATGCCAGATACAAATTTAATGTACTGATTGCCAGCATTTTTCCATAAGCAACAACTGAACCAAGGTCTTAGTATAGCCTGTCCTACCAAATAAACCAATTTCAGCCTGTCCAAAACAGCCTGTATTTATTATGCAGGGGTTTCTATGACTAGCAAAATAAGCCATCTGCCATCAGATTTCCTGCTGACCTTAATGAAAAGCCGATCCTCAAAGAGCTAGAAAAGTGAAAGGGGATGGCGGGGGAGGGGGGGATGAGAAATCAGCGATGCTTAAAAGCAGGGGAGAATCCTTGCTGAGCAAATCTTGCATCATGACCCCAGTGGAAGAGTGCCTGCCTTCAAAACTAATGCAAGAAGTTCAATCAAATGCATGTGACCGCAAGGTCTGGAATCGTTCAGGTGGATTCAGCCGACCCTCCCCGGGGAGTCAGCCCACGGCCATCGCTGCAGACCCGAAAGGGTGGGCGTCCCCTACCTTGAAAGAAGAAAGCTTTGCTGCCGTTGTGCAGCCCCTGAACTTGCCGCACTCCAGCCACAGAGTCCCCCAACGGCAACTCGCTCAGCACGTCAATCTGCACCGAAGGGTCCACGCCAATGCCGAAAACTGGATCCAGAAAAATGAGAGGATTACCACGGAACGGGGACAACTTGTCTCCCTTCGCCGTTTGCTTCCCGAGACCCCCGATTCCTCCTCTCTAACGGCCCACGACATGGGGATCCCCTATGATCTGTCGCATGGCCAGTCCTAGCTGCGGGACCTACTTTCGCGCGGTCCATTGGCAAAGTTCTGGGGGTCGGATGTGCGGCCCCCCCTCCTCCCGCCGTCTCCCCCGGCGGAGACAGACCCCGATTCTCCCCCTGAGAAACAAAGACCCGGCTGAATCAAGGGCGCCGCGCGGGAGATGGGTGGCATGGGGGGGGGGGACTGGTGGGAAACCCCCCCCCGCCCTTACCGGAGCTCAGGCACAAGAGCAGGCACAAAGTGCTCGAGAAGCCCGGCGGGGACTCCATAGGGCGGGAGAGGGAGCGGCAGCGATCAGTCCATAGTCCTCCTGGGGAAGCGGATCCCGGCGAAAAAA